CTCTCTCGCTCTCTCTTTGCTCATTTTCTCTTACTCTATGTGACTTTTCGGATTTTCTCCTCAACATGGTGAATTTCCGGGTATTTCTCAACATTCTCTATCTCAGTAAAAATCCTTCGTTAATATTCTCTTATACCAGTTTACATTGATGATATGTAACAAGTAAACAAACAGTTATGTTCTTTCACTTAAGAGAGTATAATTTTGCAAACACATACACCTTCACATACATACCGACCAAATAGAAGCAAACAATGTACTGTTGGCTTTGTTAGTGCCGCTCTTTTTGCTGTTTGCCAATATTTCCTTAAAATTTTTACTGCCTATGTTTTTGTTTTCTTTTATTTTCACCTCTTCTTTCACTTCGCTCCCTTGCTTCTTTGCTTTCATGACTTGTTGCTGTTGTTGTTGTTGCTGCTGTTGCCGCTGCTGCTGTTGTTGTTGTTGTTGTTGTTATATATGTATGCAATATTTTTAGGTAAAAGATGCGTGTGTAAAATTTATTTGGGCAATTTGTAAAACTCTTCCATAATTTATGCTTTTGCTCGGTTTGTTGCATCAAGGCGCAGTACATTTACATATATGTACATATCTCTATAAAATACAAAAACAACACTAGGTATATTCTATCATTCTTATGTCATTACGATGAAGTTAGGTTGTAAGATTTGTTCGGCCTCTTTCAAACTTTCGACTTGCAATATATTCTCCTAGATACGTATATACATAGATATATATATATATATATACAGACATACACACATAAGTATTTTTTTAGCAATTTTAGTATGCAATCATAATCATCCACTTAGTTTATTTTTTGCTTACATGCACATACATATATTTGTATGTATATAAAGGGTGATTTTTTTAGAGCTAGGTTTAAGTTTTTCACAAAAAAAAAATCAAATTCAGAAAAATGCATGAAATCTTTATTTGAACCGATAGTACGGTCTATATAATTTATTGTTTAAAGATTATTTCATGCAAATGTTGATCGTGACTGCGCCTCAAACGGTACATCCGCTTAGTCCAAATTCGGCATACTCTTTCCAACATTTCGGCCGATGCCTCACGGATAAATGCTTCAATGTTTTTTCTCCAATGCGTTAATTGAAGCGGGCTTTAACATGTTTCTTCAAAAGCTACGTAGCAATTTGGGCAAAAAAAAGTTGGATATCATCTCACGGTACCGCCTACCATTCCCAGTTACGTTACGATTCGCATCATCTTTGAATAACTGCGGTACAATGATGCCACCAACCTATAAACCGCACCAAACTATGACTTTTTGTGGATGCATTGGCTGATCTTCCTTCCAAAATCGACAGTTCTACTTATTTACGCATCCATTAAGCCAAAAATGAGCTTCGAAGCGCGAGCATTTTGATAATAAAATTCAAAGATTTTCACACGTTGTTCGTTTGTATGACGATTCATGGTTAAATTATGGACCCAACTGAAAATGTTTAACGTGATACAAACCATGAAACTTGCGTCAGCTGCTTAAACTAGTGTTGCCAAAAAGATAATAGCTAAAAAATCACCCTTTATATATATATATATGTATATATATAAATCCGCATACATATACACGTATGTTTGTATGTATTGCTATTAGTTTATTTGGCTATGAAAAACGAGTTGCCGTTAAGGTTCACATCTAATAATTTGTCGAGGTCTTATGATATTTTCGTCTACATAAAAAAATGTTGGTATCTCCATATGTGTGTATATATGTATATTATATATATATATATGTATATAAATTGTTAAAAATTTCGGTTTGTGTGCATGCTTGAGATTTGTGTGTTGTTGCTCACTTTGTATTGCTGCAATCAAGTTGCTGTTGATAGATTGACATTGCTGCTGTCACTTTTGGGTACCTTTTCGACATACATCATTACATATTCATATGTATGGTTGTTTATCAGTCAGCACACTCATGTTTACTTCTTTCCATATACACACTTATATTCTATCTAACACCATTTTGTTTTGCTCTATAGCGTTATGTCAACTGATATTGAATTTCAAGGTCATACATACATATATGTGTATATGTGTGTGTGCATCGTTAGCTAAGATGTATGAATTTCCCTATGAGTAGCTGTATATGGTTAAGCTAATAGCTGTAAGATATTCGATAAGCTCATAAAAGTATTGATTATAACGCAAACTTTAACTAGTAATCCAATCTTTTTTTACTTTAAGCTGTTGGCAAAGAAACAAAAAAATGAAAAAAAAAAATAGGTATAAAGCACAAAAAGGGTTTATAGCCTTCGCTTTTAAGTGATTGTTCTTCAAGGTTGTTAATAAGTATATAAGAGGGGATTAACAATGGTTCCGTAAGTTGACCAAAAAAAAAAAAAATAGAAAAAAAAGAAAATAGTTTTTTTTGTATTTATTCGTAATCCATGTTCCTTTTCATCTCCTCTATCTAATCGCCATTTCAGTGTTTTCCTTAAGCCTATAGATCCACTTCTGAAAACAGTCTCCAAAATCTTGCTTTTTAAGCTTATCGAGCTCATCATTAACCGCATTTATTATCTCCTCGTTGGTGGTACAGATCTTTCTTTTTAATTTTTTTTTTTTACTTTGTGGAAATAACCAAAAATCACAAGGTGCTTAATTTGGAGAATATGATACTGGAGGCATTTCTTCGATCCCAAAGATCGCAATAAAACTACTCGTTACGTCAGCAGTGTGGGAAGACGCCTTGTCATGATATAAAATGTAGTGCCGCAAACCCTCTTTCTTCAGGTTTTCCAATAAATTTTTGAAAACTTTTAGCAAAGACTCTTCGGTGAACCATTTTGCAATTACCGTCTGACCCTTCTCCAGTGGAATAGCTACTACGACTGAAGATCGGGTGAAATAAACTGACATGATTACTTTTGTTGCTGAGTTTTGTGGTTTAAATTTTACGAGTGGGTTTGCTTCTGTTGGGCTTTATATTATGGAATGCTGTTCTTGTAGAACCAAGATTTGCCACCAGTAACGACTATACCAAGGTGGCTGGTGTGCGAAATGCACTGGAGCCTCGTTTTGGGCCTTATTTAAAATTCACCAAAGCTACAGTGACGTCATTAGCGGAGGATTTTTATCGACTTTCCCGGCACTCGTCTTCCACGGAAAAATGTTCGGTTTGAGATTTTCCGAAGCACTTATAAATAGTCCTAAAAGACGGTGCAATCGTTTCATATGTAATTCGGCATTCTTTGAATATTTGTATTGGCTGTAGAATACGCCGAAATCCGAAGAGAATCAAATTATGATTCTCTGCTTGTGTTGGTGGTGGAGTTTCGACTGACCTATCCTCAGTTATCTTAAGACTTGTAAGTAATTGGCTTGGACTTGGTATTTTAATATTTAACAAATTTTAATTTAAACTCTAACTCTTCTTGTTAATCCTTTCGTATGTAATGGACACTTTTTAACTGCTGAAGCGATTTTGGCCGAACTCCTGTTTGTGGTGTGCGTACTGATGTTACTCCAACAAATGAAGGGATCAACAGTTTATTATAAGCCGCCTCCAAATGCCTGACTGGTTTTTAGAAGTGCTTTCAGGTATACACTCGAAGGTCTGGATATTCCCTGCCGAGGGGCAATGGCAGTTAGAAAATTTAATTTTCTATAATTTTGGGGGTTGGTCGAAACAGGCTCGAACCCTAGTCTGCTTCGCTTACTACTCGGCAATCGCAGCCTTTTAATAAATAGATATTAAAATAAATATAAATTGGTTGAGTAAAAAGTCTTCCATTATTTTTGGCTTCATTGATTTGTATATCGCGTTCTATAAATGCGAGTAAGCTACCCTGGATTCCGCATAAGTGACGATTTTTTCTGCTATTTTGTTTTGATATTTTTTATGTTAAAGATGCTTCTCGGTGTAAAAATTGTCGATAAAATAAGAAAAGTCGTCGAGTCTGACCATCATGCGAGCACCCTTGCGTTTACCTAAGAGCTAAACATTGCACAAAACAGAGTTTACAACCACTTGAAAAATACTGGATACGCAGAGGAGCTCCTTTCATGGGTACCACATGAATTAACGAGAAATACCTCATGCACAAAATTTCCATCAGCGAGTCACTGCTGGATCGAAAAAAAATCAACCCATTTCCAAAGCGGATGGTGGGTGACTGATGATAAAATTGGATCACGAAAATGGTCGTAGTCGATGGGCAGTAAGTTGTTACAAGCGGTCGCCAAGCCTGGATCGGCGGACAGGAAGGTTTCGGAGTGTTTTCGATGGGATTGGCAAGGAATCATCCAGTGTGAGCTGCTCCCCTATGGAAAGACACTTAATTCGGACCCATTTTGTCAGCATTTAAGCCGCCGAAAGGAAGCAATCGCCCAAAAGTACGCAGCTTTGGCCAACAGTGGGAAATTGTGTATCATCAGAACAACTCTTCAGAAGTCTGAGAGCTTGGTTGGACGGTTCTTATCATCATTGTCACAAATTTTTTTGCCAATAGGAACAAGGATTTCTATAAGACAGGCATAGTGACATTACCTTGAAAAGTCATTGAGTAAAACGGTGTATATATGGTTATGACTTAAATCGAGTAATTCTACCTTTGGTATATAAAACCTTCAATTTAATGCAGAAATAATGGATTACTAGACCTACGGATATATAAATATATTTTGTTTTAAAAATCATATGTCTTTATATGAGCATCATAATTGTTATTTGTTAAAGAGAAGGGTGGGTAAAAAGCAGGCAAGTTAAAAAATAAAAACGGCCGATATGTGTGAGTATGGAAAGCTGCAAAGGGCTTCAACACCAGAGCATACTCATGTAAGAGTCAGTGAGGTATATAATTTGGTTACCAATTGACCCTTCAGTTGGCCAGCTTCACAAGCTCTGAATTCCACTCATTTCGGCTGCATTCTATTTTTGTTGTCTGAAAATGCGTTACGCTTATCTCCCTTAGAGTTCTGGATGAATGCTCTCAAATAACATGCAGCATTTCTTTCTATTGTGTTTACAGGTTCGAACAGGAACAGGACGTCGAATCTCCTTTGTGTTTATTGACGGGCGTTTTTAACAATGGATAGAGATCACAGTGTACTCGGAGCGTATGTACATATTTATAGCATGATTGGTTTGAAAAAAAGTTATTCAAACCGCAGACAGACATGTAGCTAGTAGTAGTATAAGTAGTTTGGTATGCATAAGCATATCGCTTTAATTCGGTTTGAGTCAAGACGCTCGTTCTTTGGGGTGAATAATGGTATTCTAGGGCGGAGTGTTTCCAACCACAAATCCAAAATGGTATTTTTTATTTTTTATACGATCGCTGTGACATATGTCACAAGGACCACTTGTTTCCATCATTGTCTCATCCACCGCGTTTCTGAGATGACGGTAATGTCAGTCCAAATTTTATCGGATACAACAGTTAGTTGGTCATTGGTCAGATACTGGTTATGTCCGCCTTTAAATCAGTATCCTTTGTACGTTTGGTTATTATTAGCATTAGAAGTTCTGATGTTCAGTGGCTGCACTAGGACTGCCATATGACAAGTCAGATATTCAATAATACTATTTCTTAGATATCATATTTATAGATTTAATATAAATGGAAATTATAACCGCTAAATTGATTTCTGACAGAGTTTTTGCTTCAATTTGTTGTGCGTTTTGAACTTTTTCCAACAAATGGAGAGACCTACAGTACTTTCTGCATCACCTGCGAACGGCATGTCACAAATATACTCAAGGCAGCCTTGTACCGAATCTTCAAAGTCTTCATAGGTAAAATGTGTCGTCTATGGCATTCATAGCAGTTTTGTTTGGACCAAGGTAACGCTACTTACGCCACGAAATAGGGGTTTTTTGCGATCTCCAACTAATTGTCTTAGAATAATTCGTTCGTTTTGTCATATTAATTTTCTTTCTTCCACCGCAGCGATTTCTCTATGGACAGCTTGAATTAAGTGATCTATACTCAGCTTGGCTTTGCAATTTCATAACGAACAGACCCACCGCGGAACAACGTTTGAAGACCTCATAATTGTATTACCAAAATACTGGCTCGATACGTTCGATAAAGCTTACATTTGGTTTAACTAACGCACTTGCAATGATGAGAACCCACATTCTAGCTATTGCTGAGATGTCGTAACATTCTCAAAAAGTCACTGTTTTGTGCGCTCTATGGACCGAATAGAACGGGAATGATAAGCAAATTGCAGAGTGTGATTTTTGTTCGTCGGACTTCAGCTTTCAATTGCCTATTCAGTCCAAAGTGGCACCTGTTGGCCTGAGTTGGATTTCCAGGCTGGCACTCTCGTTGGTGTTAATACTGGTTCTAAGATAGACGAAGTTATCACGGCTTCAAGTTATGACTCTCAACAGTGAGATGAGAGGCGGGCGCGAATGCAATGATGGTTTGCTTGATGGCAGGAGATATTTCGTTGTAGGTAAAGTTTGCTTTTCAAAGTGTTTTTTGAGCCGAAAATGTAAAAAAGAATTATTAGCCTGTTTAATATCCAGCTCAAAACAGTAAATTCATTCTTTTTCGTGTTCTAAACTAATTGGAAACAATTTTTCTTACAACTTTTCAATCTTAAGTTGTTGTGGATTTAATTGGACATATGGCAAGGGCAAGTCGTAATGCTGAAAAGAGACATGGAAAATAACAGAATTTAGACACACCAAGTATGAATACTCGTGAATTCATACACATATATGTACATAGTATTTTACACAAAATATTACAATACACATATATAACATATAAGTTCGCAGAAATGTTTTGCGTGTATATGTTGAAGCTGTGAAATGACGGTTTTTGGTACTGTTGCACGAACCGAAAATTGATGAATGATGCCTGTGATGGAAATCGATTTGTGAAATTGAAATATTACAGCATAGCAAAAAGACGAAAGTAAGAAGAATAAATGTACATAGAGTGTGCGCATATACCTACATACATATATAATAGAACGTATAAAAAATGTTTGCTAATCAAAATCAAAAATTGAAAGGAAATCATGTAATGCTGATGAACGAGCGGTGGAGCGTTTGCTGTCGGTCAGTTGGAGTGTGTAGTAAGTAGTCTAACACTCGCTGCTTTTCTCTTTCACACACACACACACACACACCTAATGCTTGTTCTTTTACTATTCACTCAATGTCGCATTTGATTATTGACTGCGGCAAGCGAGGCGAAAAACAAATGAGCGCTTGTTAGAAGATTTATGAACATAATCAAAAGGTAGGTAGAATATTGAGTGAAAAGTAGCAAAAGCATTAAAAAATTGAATAGATGAAAACGAAAGTTTGGAAAAAAGCTAAGTGGAAATGCAGTGACTCATATATTATTTATTATGGGTAAGTATCTGATTGGGGAGGATGAATTTGAGGCCCTTAAAATATTTAAAAATAAGGCAATAAATATCTTAAAATACTAAAACACAATGAGATTTAAAAAAAAAATTGAGAAATTAAATTTAAATTAAATAAAACAACGAAAAATACAAACAAAGGATGAAAAAAAAAAAGATTTAAAAATATTTAAACAATTTTTTCATTTACCTTTCCCCATTTTTTTGCTACTAGTGCTGTTTGATAAGTCAGTGACTTTTTGAATTTTCCGCGCAGTTACTGTAAGTACAACACTGCTCCCGTTAGCTGTTATCGATTAATAGATCGCTGTAAAATTTTCCTAAAAGATGCGTCACGCAAACGCAAATTACACGTTTAACAGCCGCTAAAGGCTGACGACTTTCAGAAAATGAAAAAAAAAATAATTTCGTTTACTGATTAAAGATTATTTTTGAAGTATAAAACCACCACCAAATTCAAAGAAAAATGACATTTTTTGAGACAAATAATCGGATGTTTATTTCAATCCGAAGAAGAAAATATGCCATTAATAATGAAAAACAATGTCAGCCAATAGGTCCATGGTTACGCTTATCCTTCCTATGAAATTTTCCATCACAAAATCGCAAAGTGGCTGCTTTACGCCCTCAGCAGTTTCACGAGTTCTATTTTTGAGGTCTGGAGTCGATGTGAAAAAGGCAAGGAGTAAAATCAAAAGATCACTTGATCTGCGAGAGATCGCACGAAAACGACAAGGAATGACCAAATTCGGCGTTTCTTAAACACTTTGGGCTAATGCAGCAATATTCTCAGTTCTTATTGAGCGACGTGGCGTGTTTTTTTCAACCCGTCACTAAGTTGCTTTCTTGACTGTGCACAATCAACAAAAGGGGTTGTCACTGCATAAATAGTCGATAAATTAGGTGAAATGAGTTCGGAGAATAAAAACACGGCTGATGTCTGAGGCTGTATGTATTCCCACTAAGAGCATACATCGCAGTTTACATGAATATTTGTTCAAAAGAAAGCCTTGCAATCACTGCGATGGAGTGTTTGGCGTTGCTCAACCGTAATCGAAACGAATTCCTGCAACGTTTCATTACCGTTGAAAAGCGTGAATCCGCCACATCATCGAAACAACATTTAAGAAAGTGGATTTCTCCCAAGTGAACGCGCACCAAGGAGCAACAAGGTGTGTCTGTCAGTCAACAATGTAATGTAATGTCTATTGCTTCTTTTTTGATGCGCGAGGTGTTTATTATTCAGATAATTTGTATATTTTGGATTCTAATTTGAAATAGAAGAGACTGAATGTGGTGAAAAAATGTGCTGTTCCACCAGAGCGAGGGACGGGTGCATAAGGGAAGAAATTCATAATTTCGACTAGAAACAACAATACTACCCATCCAGCATATACACCCGATTGTGCCCTCTACGAATGAATCTTGTTTCCAAGTCTGAGGATTTGTTTGTGCGTTAAGAGATTTGATTCAAATGAAGAGGCCATCAGTGAAAGGCCTATTTAGACGACCTTGAAACCCCTTAAAAATTTGCAAAAACACTGGACTAAGTATACACAGAGCTTAAAAGAGAAGTAAAACGCATATTTGTCGATGTCGATTCAAAAAGTGACTGACCTCGTATCATAATTTTTCCCTATTTTTATTTTTCCTTCATTGGCATTGTTATATTTTAAAACAGGGAAACAAATCAATTGAAGAAGCAAGGAAGAAAATAAAAAAATAATAAAGAAACATAAATATGGCAAACATAAGTTTGAAGTTTCTCTCGTTCAACTTGTTAGTGGGCTTCAATGCTTTAAGTGGAAAAACCTGTTTGCAAATCAACGCTGCCACAAGTAACATACATGCATACATATATACATATGTACATCTTTGCATAGATAATTTTCAAGTGCAAAAATGGCATTAGATAGAAAACTAAACAAATTTTTTTTGGCAGCCTGAGCAACAAGTACACGTACATACAAACTCACACGATTTGTGTTTGGTGTATTTGAATGTGAGTGACCTCCTGTGAATCCTTGGAGGCACGTGCGCCACACAGCCAAGTGCTTGACAGCGCTGTTAGCGGCTATGTTTTTGTACACACATATATACATATATATATATATACATGTGTGTGTATTATGTTTGTGTTGTCTGCATGCATTAGCATTGGTCCGTAGGGATGCTCGCAAAGTTGAATTACAATTTTTTTTCATTTTTATTACTTTTTTTTGCACAATATTTTCGGCACTACTTTATAACAAAAAAAAAAAAACCCTAAATACACACACCACTGCACTTGCAGGCATATAACTTAATTTATTTTTGGTTTTCTGTGGCGAGTTTGCACACAACATGGCGCCCCATCGCAGCAACACCTTCATAACGGCAGGCGCTGCTGCGAGAGTACAAACGCCAGAGCAATTGTTACAATCAAAATCAAGACACAGCGGCATTAGCGCCATGAAACTTTCCGAGTCTCCCCCATGCATTTAGCATATTTAATATACAAACTAAAGTATAGAAAAGTGAATATCCACTAAGCAGTAAAAAAATTTCATATATTTTCAGAGACTAGTTCACCTAGGTCCGGTTGGCTTTTTGAAAGTCTGCAGGCGATGGGGAAGGATGACTAGCATCTTCATTGCCAATATCGCCCAGCAGTTGTACGCAGTTTATTCAAAACTCCGACTTACCTCACAGGAAAATGATAGCATTACTGAGGTTTTACCTCTTTCTCGCATCCGGAGTCACTTAGGAGTGCTGCTTTTCAGACAGCAGCTACTAGAGTTACTTCTTGATGTCGAAACAGTCTGCCCAGGCCTTCAATATTACTTGACTCTTTTTTCTTCAGCTGACTCCCAACTCGTAGGAGTCAAATCAAATTCATTCCCCGTACTGCCGAAAGTCACTTCAGTGTGAAACTTATACAACTTTCCAGGTCGTATCAAACAGTGGGCTTCCGTTAAAGTCTTCCGTCGTGCCTCATTACAGGCCCGTAAGTTTGTATAAACTCCTTTAAGTCGAGAATATGTTGAGTTTAGTTGCATCATGTTCGTCACTCTGATCGTCGAGGATAAGTTAGTTGGGCGAGATGTATAAATCTGCTAGACTACCATAAGGCCTCACTAGCCATCACATGATCGGTGTTAGTAAGAGCTGGGCTCATACCAATACTATTCGTTGTAGCCGCCTAGAAGCGGGCAAAGTCAGTATATATTGTTGGGATAATTGAATGGTAGGTCCAGAAAACGAGCTGTTTCAACGTGCTAGAACCAGAAAGAGAAGATATTTAAATGAGTAGGATTTAGTGAGCATGCAAAGTGGTAGTTAGTGTCGCTGCTGTGAATCTTGTTATGCGGGATACTCGACAAACTAGAGTACTTAGATCTTAAATGAGACGGGCAAGTCGGGCGCTGCTACGGCAATGGGTGGTTGTTGAATTCCGGCCGCGCCATTCATGGAAAGAGAGTTTATGGGAGTGTGTGAACGGATCCTTTTTGAATAGTGTTTTGGGCCTGTCAGTTTGTCCTGGCCACCTGTTCAGCGGCTGTTGTGGTACTCAATGGAGTCCTTCAAATGTATGGCTCCTAGTATGTTCTGTAGGGACTATCTACTAGTATCCCAGTATATATTGCTTGCGGAGCATAATAAGTATGCATCCTGACGAGACGTTTCAGGATGGTATTGTTACATGGTTGTGGATTGTTCTACTACGTCTTGCAAGTCTGTTTTGTCAAAAGGGTGCAGCGTAAATAATGGTTGACCGACTGTTTGCTTTGTAAGTTAGGATGAACTTTATTTTTTCCAGATTTTACATGCTAACGATTTGTTTCGGCTCTGTACATTGATGGTAATCGCAGCCGTGTGCTGGGTGAGGAATTGTAGACTGTACTTTGGGGTTATTTATCGTAGGAACTTGTACGTCTGCGTCGATTTTTTCACATTTAGTTCCGTCCGGTACAATCCGTTCGTTGGCTGTAGTTGTTATTGTTGTGCAGTGCACATGTAGATTTAATATGGTTGATCAGAAAAACGAAGTAGTTGAATATGGTCACAACCTAACCAGCTAAATTAGCACCCAAGCGGTATACTCGTACGGATAATTAGAGAACGTATCTCGTTCTTATCTGATGTTAAAATCTGTTAGTA